TGACTTTCTTTCCGTCCATTGATTACGGTGACATTATTTACATGAACACTCCTACAAGAACCCTGCGGATGTTGAATGCTGTCTATCATGGTGCACTAAGATTCATAACTGCTGTAACTATTGTACCCATCATTGCACCCTGTATTCACTGGTTAACTGGACATCATTAACTTCACACAGACTCTCCCACTGGTACATTTTCATCTTTAAATCACTTCTTGGTCTGCTGCTTTCATACATCTCCTCCTACATGTCTTTGTGTGAGTGCAGCTACAGCATGCGCTCTCAGGACATTATTACCTGCAGTGTTCCCTCAGTGAGGACTGAACTTGGCAAAAGGGCCTTCTTCTACTCCGCTCCTGTTTCCTGGAATATCTTGCAAAATGATTTGAACAATTTTTGTCAAAGCCAGGTAAAAAGAGATACAGTAATTATGGAAGATAAAAAAAAAATTTTTTCACTGTAAGGTTTCACAGCTTCATAAGCTTTGGACTGCACGATCCTACCAGGACCCCCTGAACCGTAACCTGTTTCCTGTGTAGACTTGTAGAGGCTCGATCAGCCTCCAAAGTCCTGAAAAGACAGAGCAATCGTCGGCTGTAGTTCCCCACTTGATCCAGAAAGGGGACGAGAATCTGGTGGGGACTTTAACGTAATACTGGGTCTGTTTTTACAGTTCAAGCTAAGGCGACTTGATGAAATATCAGAATCAGAATAAGCTTTATGTCATTGCTCCGAGATACAACGAGAACATGTACGTACAGTCGTCCAAAAGATGGACGTAGTGCACAGAGCTGCTGCTAATTAGCGCGGCCCACTTATTCTTATTCAGAATAATATTTTTGCTTAAATGAGAAAAGGGAAGAAAACATGAGGAGAGAAGATTTAAAACAAGACCTCTCACACCGTGTCCTAGACAGGGCACGGTTTGAGGCATCAAAAAATCTACCACAGCAAAGCAACATAAATTTTAGATAAGAGAAATATGCCTCGATGAATCATTACTTAATCAAGTCCAAGTATTCATTCAACAACTATTTTATTATTCAACTTCTTATTCTTTGTTATTGTTCATGTTTTGTTTTGATAATTTTGTAATTAAACTTCAAAGACAGTTCGGTCTCTTCATTTGGGTGAATATTTATTTGTTCTGGTGCAGAATTCCCTGTAAATAACAGACTCTACTTCAGTGACTGAGTTCTGATTATTAGAGGGTGAATCAATTAATTAACTTGTTATTGGTCAGTAAACTGACCTGGTGCTGCTCTGGTTTAACGAGTGCAAAATTAAGTGTAGTAAAGTGAGGAGGAAGTATCGCCCTTCTTCACATCTACATTTGTAATCTGATATCATTTTTCCACAGAAACCGGAGTCTAAATATTTTACAAATTTAAGTTTAATAATTTAAACTTGATGATGATGCTGTTTGTTGGAGATAAAATTGAATTAAACTAAATATTTTAAAATTTGCTCTTCAATATTCAAGTCTTGTTTCTAAAACACACCGTGTTTTTATGGTGTCAGATAAAGTTTAGGCACACCACCTAATTCTTGTCAATCTTTGAGCCTGGAATAAAATAATTTAAACTGTAGCTGAGTGTAAAATGTGGAAGTTATTAAACCATGAAACCTAAAGGAATATGTTTATACTTTGGGTATGAGCATCTGTTCAGAGAAGGAACAGATTTTTTGTTGTTGTTTTGACGTCCAGAGGACTTTTTAGATTTTTCTACCTAGATCATTGAGCATGCATCAGGATATCCCTGGAACAGGCGCTTCTGTATTTATTACCAGTAGGGGGCAACAAACCACTTTATTACAAAAGTGTTTAGCATAATTTTGCTGCTGTTTATGTGTAATGCTATAATAAATGTATGTTTCTACTGTTTAAAAACCGCCTCTGTTTTACACAACGTGGTGGGTTGCCAGTTGGGCTTGTTTTGGATTTGTTTTCATAAAGCTGGTTGCTTGTTTCTACCGCGAGATCTGGCAACACCGTGCAGGAGGAGGGAGTACGCGACGCGGAGGAGATCTGACCCCAAGTATTTATCATCTGACCATAAACTCGGGGTGAAACGGGTCAAAGACACCGCTGAATCCACGGAGCGAATGTGTCGAAGATCCAACCTAGAACTAAGTTCACCGAGGAGTAAAACCGTGGAGACAGCGGGTCCAACAGACTGGAGGAAGCTGCGGAGAAACATCGGGTCTTTTTGAAGGAATAATCTCAGATTACGAAGAGGAACTGTCGAGTTGGAGAGAAAATGAGCGCAGGTTTGTTTGTTTCATTCAGCGTCAGACGATGTTAGCTAGCTGTGGTTTCTAGGTAGTTGATGGATTTAGAACTTGTAAATCTATTGTCTGTGTTTGTAGCTTAGCATGCTAACAGAAGCTAGCGCTAAGGTGGACAAGATCTAGAAACTAAATATTAGATCAAGAATCGGGAGGCTGTTTTTATCTCTTAATAATTCTCAGTTTGGACATGTACTATCCAAACTATTGTCATCAAGTATAAAACAGTTTTACAAACTTGGCTGAGAAGATATTTTAGGTTGTGTCTAAATTCAGGGCCTATATGCTTCGAAGGCCGCATGTTGTGCTCGTGTTCTGCAAACATGTAGTTAATACACGCGCATGCGCAATCTGCAAGAGGCCCGCGACGTTTAGAAGAGCCATCCGTTTATCATACACTACAAAATAAGAAAAAAGCAAGTCAGTAAATTGTTTTGGTGCATTATTGTGTATTTATACAATTTTCAGTGTGCAATACATTTTCTGGACCGTAAGTACATTATTTTGGTCTACGCAGAGTCAGAGTTTCTTTATTGTCGTTCCACGAACGAGACTATGTACACAGGGTCCAAGTTGCATCCAATAATATAATGGAAAAGAAAAACGGTAATAAGGTCTAAGGTATGAACTAATGAAAACATAAACTGAATATACTCTAATAACATAAAAACAATACGCCGAACAGCAGCACGAACATGAGTCTGTGTGAGCAGATGAGCACGAATGAACACATCAACATGAAACCGATCAGCAGCAACATGAAACAGATCAGCAGCAACATGATGTGATTATTCTGGTTAGAGATTCATGAGTCTAACAGCCTCAAGGTAGAAGCTGTTCCTCAGTCTAGTGGTTCTACACTTAACGCTCCTTAACCTCCTTCTTGATGGTAGAGGGGCAAAAAGTGTGTGTGCTGGGTGAGTGGGGTCCTTCATGATGCAGGTGGCCCTCTTCCTGCATCTGGAGGTGTAGATGTCTGTGATAGTGGGGAGACTGACTCCAACAGACTTCTCTGCAGCCTTCACTAAGGCTGGATACCTTTCTAAAAAAAATGGTACCGATACCTTCACTTCGATGTTGGTTCCTGAACGGTACTTTTTTCTGTACCAATTTTATAATTAATATTAATTCTAACAAGAAGAAAGAAAATTACGTTACACATTACAGTACAAATCTTGAGTTTTATTTTTTAACTTTGGTATGGTACTATGAAACAATTTAGCGTAACCTTTTGTTCAGAGGTTCACATGACACACGTGTCACTCGTTTGGTAATTTGTTGACAGTCCCTACGAGCACCACTGTGCTCAGGAGGAGGAAGCACGTGGAGGAGGTCAGAGAGAGTTGGCCTGGAATTAAAAAATATGTATAAAACTTTTTGGACAGATAATCAATATTTGACAAACTTTTTTTGACTTTGGAACTGACGGAACTTGGCATAAACTGATATATGAATGGAAACGGGTAGGAGACGAGGCAGATGTACTGTACTGTTCTGTACTGAAACATGTTTCAAATTTAAGTCATGATAATGAGCTAAATCCAGATTTTATCCAATCTGTGGGTGTCTGACAGTAATAATCTGACATGAATTATGTTTTATCTGGACAAATTCTGAAGCTTCCAGGTTAATCCTTTTATTTTCTGCTAACTTTATGACCATTCATTGGGGAAAAATTAACCTCCTTATTTAACTGCATAAAATACTGTTTATTTTATTCACAAAATAAAACAACTAGTCAGTAGAGAGAGCTAACTCATCCTGAAAGCATCAAATTTAAATGACTTATTTTAAATCTTCAGAACATTTTTATTATTATAATTTCATCCATCCATCCCTCTACAGTGTTTGGTAAATAACAAAAGTAAAGTGTCATAACAAACGTCAGAATATTTTTAATATATCTTTATTGTCAACATCTATACTGAAATGGTACATCGATAGGTTTAGGGCAGGAAAATGTAACAGCTTATGTCATTTACATCTTTAAAAAAAATCATCCGGGGGTGGGGGGCAGGCGCTAGGTTTGTCACCTTTTTCATCCCTTCTGAGTTTGCAGGTATACTAATGACAGCTGTGAGTGTTTTCTGTGTCTACCTGTCAGTACTCAACTATTTTCACTTGAATCTGGACTAAATAAAGTGTTGAAACTGGAAAAATTGGTAGTTCTACATATTTACCAAGGTTTATTAGAGGTATTACGTATTTTAAAATAGTGTGTAATTTATTATATTTGCACAGATTTGTTTTGATTTATAAAGTATTTTCTGTTGGCAAATTCATACACAATGGACAAGACGGATAAAAACATTAAAGGTCACATTTCAGATGATGTATGAGCTATTATGTCATAATACTGATTCAGTGTAACACCCATTTTTATAATTTTTTTACTTCTATAATTTTAAGTAATGGCGAAACATTGGACTCATTCACTGAGTTTAGTTTTTTAATCTGATTATTTATGATTTGTGGACTTTGATAAATAAAATAAAATTTAAAGTGTAGCAAAAATGTTCAAATACCCATATCAGGTGATTGAATTTAAACATTTTTGGTATTTTTGATTTGTTTGTCTCTTACTGAGTAAAATGTTTTTCCTTTGACTTGGAACAGTTCTGATCCACAGAACATTAATAAGAAAACACAAGTGATGTATGAGTGCATATAAAGTTATATTCAGTCCATATTGTCTGTGTTTCCTGCAGATGTTCATCAGACTCTGCTGATCAGAGGAGATGCTCCTGAGGAATGGAGGCCTGATGTGAACCAGCAGAACCCAGAGCCCCTCCACATCAAGGAGGAAGAGGAGGAACTCTGGACCCAATTGGAGGAAGAGCAGCTCAGTGTGAAGGAGGAGACTGATGCCAGCAGGTTTTCATTCACTGCAGTTCATGTGAAGACTGAGAATGATGAAGAGAAGCCTCTGTTCTCACATCTTCATCAGCACCAAATGGAGGACAGAGATGTTCCAACCAGCAGCTCAGCTGACCAGATGAAAGTAGAAGCTAATGGGGAGGACTGTGGAGGAGCAGAAACCAGCAGGAACTCAGATGCTTCCAACTCTTCAGAGACTGAAGTGAGTGAGGATGATGAAGAGGATGAGAACAATCCTGACTCTCAGCTGGAACACTTGTCAGACTCTGGTTCAACAGCTGAAGACAGTGACAAAGACTGGAAGGAGAGCAGAGCTCCTGAGTCAGCTGTAAACTCTGTCAACAAATGTTTCAGCTGCTCTGAGTGTGGTAAACAATTTTGCCACAAACAGTCTCTTCAGAGATGCATGACATGTCATTCAACAGTAAGACGTTCAAGCTGTTTGGGTCAGAATGAAAGTGTTAGAGAGAAGAAAAGTGTGGAGACACACAGAAAAGTCCAGACAAGACCGACATCATTTAATTGTGATGAATGTGGTAAAAAATGTAAAAGTATAACAAATTTAAAAACACACAAGATAGTACACACCGGAGAGAGGCTGTTTGTATGTAACATTTGTGGACAAAGATTTACCTATAAACACCAATTACATGGACATATGAATCTTCATACAAGACAGAAGCCGTTTAAATGTGAGATTTGCAGACATCAAACTAACCAGAAGTCAAGTTTAATCTCACACACGAGAGTCCACACTGGACAGAAACCTTATGAATGTCAGAATTGTGGACAAAGATTTAGCTTTAAGTCAGGTTTAAACAGACACACGAGAGTCCACACAGGACAGAAACTTTATGAATGTCAAAATTGTGGACAGAGATTTTGCCATAAGTCAGGTTTAGACAGACACCTGAGAGTCCACATAGGACAGAAACCTTATGTATGTCAGAATTGTGGACAGAGATTTAGCCATAGGTCAGGTTTAAACAGACACATGAGAGTCCACACAGGACAGAAACCTTATGAATGTCAGAATTGTGGACAGAGATTTTGCCATAAGTCAAATTTAAACTTGCACACGAGAGTTCACACAGGACAGAAACCTTATGAATGTCAGAACTGTGGACAGAGATTTAGCCAGAAGTCAGGTTTAAACAGACACATGAGAGTTCACACAGGATATAAACCTTTTGAATGTCAGAATTGTGGCCAGAGATTTAGCCAGAAGTCAGGTTTAACCTCACACGTGAGAGTCCACACAGCAGCAGAACCATATGAATGTGAATTTTGTGGACAAAGATTTAGGCAGTTGACAGATTTAAACTTTCACATGAGCGTCCATACTGGGCAGAAACTACTTAAATGTGAGCTTTGTGGACAAACGTTCAGCCATGCTATAACTTTAAACTTACACATGACTGTCCACACGGGACAGATACCGTTTGAATTTGAGGGTTGCTGACAAAGATTTCGTAATTTAGATATATTTAAACAGACACACTAAAGTCCACAGGAACCTAAGCGCTCCTTAGTTCCTCCTCTAGAAGTAAAACGTTAAGACTTCAGTCTAAAATTAGAGTCTGCTTTTAAATGCATGAGAACCAACAATGGAAGAAAACCGTTAAACTGAACGTTGGGTGTTTTCAACTAAGGATGCACCCGTTCACATTTTTTAAACTTCCGATCAGATATCTAAATCTGGATATTGGCTGATACCGATGCTATTCCAATACCGTTCCGATAACATCATCATTATTTATTTTATATGAGGCTGTCATAATCTCCAAGTGCAATTTGTACAAATATATGCGTGCATGTCCAAAAAGGCAACTTGAGATAAGTATAAGGTCAGAAAAGGAAGTCAGAAAAAACAGAAAATCGTGTTTACAGGAAAAATCCAATGCTGAAAACAAATAAGCAACTGTAAGGGTTTCAGATTGACAGTATTTATTAAATCCCTTTCTTTCAAATGCATTTGGATAACCACTGTCTGCTGGTTACCTCCTGCAGGTTCATCATGCTCCTCCAGAATTCTGTCATACAGACTGCTGAAGCAGCTTCTCCTTGTGCTTGGAGGATAACCACCAGTGCTTGAACCAGCTTCCATGCAAGCAATATTTTCTGCTGGCTCTGCCTCTGTTGCCCCTGCTCCATCAGCTGATGCTCTGAGCAGTACTTGTTCCATCTTCTCGAGCTCTTGTGTTGGAAAACCCTTTGCCCTCCTGGCATTTTCTCCTCCAGAAAATAATCCGACACAAAAATAAAATGGGTTGAGTGAGTACAAAACATTATTGCAGCTGCAAGACTATGCACGTACAGACACACTCATCTCCACCCCCACAGACTCATGTTCATGTTTGTGCTGATGTTCAATGTTTTTATGTTATGAGTGCTTAGTGTATATTTAGTTGATGTTTTTCTTAGTTCATATCTTAGATGTCATTACTGTTTTTCTTATACATTTTATTGTTGGATGCAACTGGGACCCTGTGTACATAATTTCGCTTTACCACATGTACCACATGAGGTGCGAATGACAATAAAGAAACTCTGACTCTGACACCACCCCGCTTTTTAAATTTCATTTTAGGCTAACTAATTCATTAATTCAACCTTTATTCGTACAGGTTAGTCTCATTGAGCCACGAGGACTCATTTACAAAAGAGACATGTTTGAACAAAGAATGATTGCAACAGAAGACGATCATAAAAAAGCATATGAATTGAAAAAACAAAAGAAAATTAAATAAAATAAAGAAACAAAAACAGCTACATTATAACGCGATGTAAAATACTAAAAACAGGAACATGTCTGTGTTGGTTTAACCTCTTTTTGGGGGGTGCTTAAGCACCCCTAAATTTTAACTCGACACCCCCTAAAAAAACAAAACAATGAATTGTCCAAATTTTGGACTATTTCGGCGGGCCCATTAAAAAGCCCAATGGGCCGTATGCGGCCCACAGGCCGGGGTTTACCCATGCCTGGTGTAGACCAAAGACAATGATGGCATAGACTGGATGGTTCATCTGGTGACTAGTGCCAACTCAGTATACTATTTGTCTATATAATGCGAATAAGTAAAATAAATCTTAAAACGTATAAGACTAATATCAAATCATTTGACAACTAAATTGTTCTAAGTTTAAGTACGCTAAATCAAAAGGTACTAATAATAAAATAAGGGACTGTAACACCACTGATTTTGTATATGCATCTGTGGCATAGGGGTTGTATAGGTTAATGATTAAATGTTAAATAGAAATTAAACATGCAATAGGAGAATTTGAGAAATTAAAAACAAAATGGAAGTTTGGAACCATGGGTCTTTATGAATTCCACACTTCGTAGACATAGATGATAGTTGGGCTTCTATGTCTAATAATTCTGTTTGTTGGAGTTGATTACTCCAGTGGTTAGTGTTGAGTGGAGTTTAAAAAACAAACTTTTGACATGCTGATCAGCTGAGTTTGAATACAAACAACACATAATCTCGACCTCAACCCAAAGTTATTCAACCCCACTTGTAGGTTATGATCTTGTGTTCAAAAAAAGTTGATTTTTCCTTAAAGGTTTATTGTTATTAGGTCTAAGGTGTTTTGCCTTACCTATTTATTTGTGGGTTTGTGAATTTAAGGCTCCACTTGGAGAAGGATAGGAATCTTTACCTTCTTAAGTTTGTTTAGCCTATGTTTTGATTGTCTGAAGATTCTCTACCATTTGTTGTTTTTATTTGAGCCTTGTGTGGCTTGATCTGGTTTCAGTGAACCCACTTAAGGACAGGTTCTTCCTGACCTTTGCTGATTGTGATATGGTACACAACTGGGGACAGTTTGTCCATTATCAGATATGATCCAGTCCACCTTGGTATAAGTTGATTAGCAAGCGTTCCGGTTTGGGAAGCTTTCTGTCCAGTGTCTGGGGCAAAGACATAATACCAGACCTTCTCCCCCACTTGACGTTCTTCATGGGAGGCATCATGGTAGTTTTGCATCCTTCACTCATTTTGTTGAGATGCTTTTGAGCAAAAGCAGAGGTGGTTTTCAGTTGTTGGTTGGAGGCTCCCTGACAAACTTCAGGAAATGTCTGTCTGGAACTGGTTGCCTAGATCAGGGACAGGGGTGACCTGAAGAATTATTGTCAGTGACCACACAACATCATTTATGGTGTCCACCCGAACACTAAGTCGGACTAGGATGTCACAACTTATGTATACCGAGTGTGGTAAGTTTTGGACCACAAGAAATAGTGAGTCAGTTCTCTATGTTTCCATATAAGCCTGAGGGTACAAATACCCACAGCTTTTAAGGTACAAGACAATCTTAAATCGTTTTGGAAATGAAAATACTTTCTAACCATTTGGAGGTTAGAGTGTTTAAGCACTAGGGCCTCATAAAGGTCTTGGCTGATCGTGGACTTGTCAGTCCAAAGAGACAACACAACATTGTTCACTTGAGATTCCTGGACCTCAGTCTTTAACCACTTGTAGGAGTTAATATTCACTGGACTGTGATTGACTCAGTGAACACAAGAACGTTTCACGTTGGGCTAGTGTTAGCTCCAACGGTCGATCAGGTGTGGCTGGCATTACCTGGGTATGGGGCAGGATCTCATTTTCCTGAGAGTTGTTTTAAGGTTGGGAGATATTGGTTTCATCACTAGTATTCAGTGTAGCACACTGAGAGGTTACTTCGGGAGAGAAAGTGATGGATAACGGTTGGAGTACTTGTGCCCAGACTTTGAGACTCTTGAAATCGATCAAAGGCTGAAACTGGTTTAAAAGATCTTGTCCTATTAGGAAAGGGATTGATTCCATTTGTTACACATAACATATACTGGGTGTATAAGAGTCAATGGTCCAATCTGAAGCTCAATCAGTGCCACCTGGGATAAGGTTCTTTCTTCAGAAGAGTATGGTCGTACCTCTAAAGAACAGTTTTGAAGGATCAGCTCTTTGACAGCACGATTTGCTGCGAACCGTAGTTTTTCAAACAGTGTGGTGGATATTAAAGTGATGTCAGTTTCTGTGTCCAGGAGAGCATCATGAGACAGGACTTGTTCCAGGGTCAGCGAAAGATCAAACTTTCTTGCTGGCCCCTTTTCAGTAAGGTCACACAAAAATTTGTGTACCGGAGTATTGATGCACGATATTGGATTTTTGGCCGATATCCGATATGCCGATATGTTAAAACAGATTCGGCCGATAACCGATGCCGATACCAATATTTTGTATACGTTCCTTTGTCAGAACATAGCCCTCTTATTTAGGCTTATTTGCTACAAAAATTGTGCAACTGCTGTAAGAGCTGGTGACATACTCAGTAACAGCCATATGATATGCATAACACTTTGACTTATTAAATGAAAAGTGTTAAATGTTTTTTGGTAGCATTAGTCACCTGCAATGCTCTTTCACTTGTGGATGCTTGTTCCGGGTTCCTAGCTGCAGTGTGGAATCCGCTGCACTGGAAGGACAGTCTTTTTAAGTTCAAAGTTTTTGTCTATTCATTGTGCCGTAAGACTAATCATGCTAACAGGGCTAACACTTGACATCCAAATGTCTGTGGTAAAACTCACCCAACAAGTCATTCTATCGGCTATTAGCTTCTTAATGACGTCGGCAATGACGGCTGATAACTTGAGTAACGTTAACGTCGGAAAAATATCTCCGACTGCGGACGATGTAGCGAGGCTCAAAGTAGTACATAAATCTTCGGAATCCGCCATCCTCACCAACGAAAAATGAAACTTCCACACTGCAGACATTTTGAATTTTCCAGACTCTGCCATGAGATTAGGTAAGCACGTGTGACTTCAGAAAGCGAGGGGTGTAGGAGATGCGGTGTCTCTGAGGACGCACTGTCTCTTTGAGGATTTATGGATGAATGCTACAGCAGGATCTCGTCACAGTCTTTGGCTGTTTATTAAAATACATGGGGCTTATAATTACATGGAATGGAGTGTGATACGTCCAACTATGGTTCTGAGCATGCACAAGACTTTCATAGCAATGCTGTTGGCCAAGCTTGTTCATCCCGTATTTGAATTAGGACTGAGCTTCATCCCTAACGGTTGCATGTTACTGCTGCAACAACTGACTAGTTGTCATCTCAGATTTGTGAGTAAATCACTTTCTGTCGTGTGCACCGTTTGCAAAAATTGTATTCTACACTATGCACGTTATTTTATTGATTGCTTATACCGACATTTTACCCAACTTGGTATATTTTTTTGTCAGATGAGAGCTCCTTTGATGTGATCAAAGTTCTGCTCATTAGATGGGTTCAAGATGCCTGCAAAGACTCTGCTACTAGAGAGAAAATGTGTCAATCTAATTATTTTAAACATCTGCATCTTGATCTTCTTGATCTGGACCAATACATATCCTCAGTTCTGGGTTACATTAGTACATGTACTGACACTGTCTCCACTATCAGAAATGTTAAAAGCTACCCAAACAGAAA